CATAACATATTAACAAAGCAAATCATTCATATAAATAATTTTAGATATTTATCAATTAATAATTGCTGTAAATTCATCACTTATAACTGATCAAATGTTATGTTCATATGAAATTTACCTGAATGATAAGATGTGGAAAAAGACAGAATATACAGAATATGAATCAACAAATGGTTTCCTTACAATATCTCTGAAGTCTCCCTCCTTTGGTGATAAAGTAACAGCCAGCTCCAGTGTGCCCAAGTTGTGTTCAGGGTACTGTGGGTCCTTCAGGTCCAGAGTCACGTCCAGTGTCCTACATAAGCACAAAGAATCAGGTCAAAAAAAGACTGTGGTGCAAATTTAGAAAATAAAAAAGCACATGTCAAATGTGAACTAGGTTTTTTAAACATTTATAACTTTTTAATTTTTTTTTTCAGTTAGATTATTTGGAATTATTGTTGTAACAGTTGTGCTCCACACAGCACAGCTACACAGCTACGCAGCAGAGTTCTATGTGTTAAGATTGACACAATCTTAAGATTGTTAAGATTGACATACAATTTTAACATTGAGGGGATAAACACATTTGATTTCCACTACATTTGAAGGCAATGTTCCATTTGAACATTAACGCCACATTATTTACAAAGGTCAGAGGTTATGTATAAAGAAATGGGAAATACACACGTTATCTTTAACCTGGGAAATGTTTACCCTAAAAACAGACAGCAGGGGTTAATCTTGTTTTTATCGGGAACAGCACATGTTGATGATTAATGTTTATGTATGCATGTTTATAACACATGGGTTTATGTAGAGTCCCCAATCTGCCATTTCAACAACATTCAATGAAAGTTTGATTCACAAGCAAAAATCAGAACCACAATCATGTAGGTGGACACGTCCTGCCACTAGAGGGAAACAACACTAGAAATGTTTTAAATGATTTAAAAAGATGACTCAATGTTTGCATTGTACGGTGTGTAATTGTGCATCGCATCTACCAAACACTGCTTTGTTAATTATCTTTTTCTAATAAACCTGATAATTACAATTTGTTTGGACAGGATTTCAGCCTGTATATGTATGTTTACATGTGTGCATTTATATATGTATATATACTGCATATATAAAGATATATTTTACAAAGACAAAACAGAATAAAAACGTTCTCATAGAAGTAATTTGTTTCATGAGGTGTGAGTTGTTTTAACAAAATGAGCCACTAGAGGTAGACATTTCACTACTTACGAAATACAAGTGTTAAGAGGTAGCCTATCTGTATTAAGACGGGAAATGTGTAAATGTGTTCAATAAAATGTTCACTCTCTATCGCTAACATCATAAATTATTACAAAAAAATCAGATAAAGAAACATGGGAGAGAAATATGTGCTTACAAAATGTAAGGATACAATAAATACCTGTAAAAACAAAACAAACAAACAAAAAAAAGAACATGTAAGGGTGACAACAGACCTCTGATGTTCCAATGACTCCAGGTAGAGGTAAGCAGAGCCCATAAAGTCATCCTGGAGCCCAAAGTCATAGTCAAAAACCTACAAAAAGAATTTAATAAGAAAAAATTAAAAGTCAACATTGATTGAATAAATGAAGTTTTCTGCTGTTTATTGAGATCACTGAATAATTAGTGTATTTTCAGATACAGCATTTTCAGCTCAGTTTATGTTTGCTTTACCTTAACATAAAGAGGTTCCCTTAGCGTCTCCACATGTAGAGTTACTCTCTCGTCCCACACTGGGTTGAGGTTTTTGTGGATGGTTTTACTTCTGAACACCTCCTTCCCTGCGATCTTAAACTTCACATATGGGTCACTGGTCCCTGCAGAGACCAAAGACAAACAGAACAACACTTTCATGAGGAATTAGGAAGAGACTCTGACAACAAAGCAGCCCACGTGTCAAGTGTCAATGTAAAACACAAACCTTAAATGAAGCAGTTAACTGCAGATAAGTTAATCATCTTCCACAGTACCACCTGAATCATTTCCACAAAACTAATGAAAACACTAGGCAGGCTATAACAACTTAAAAAATTAGAAAAGAAAAACTCAACCTATCTGATATTCAAATTGTTTGAAATACTTGTACAACAGCTCGATCAAGTCATATTTTAATCATAGGTCACATGACAAGTCACATTACATTTTACGCCCATTACCACTAGGTGGTAGTGTTCACTCACATTTGATTCACTGCGAGCACAAGCTTTTCATACTTTGGTATTTTTATACTATATTATTTTACTGCCTTACACAATTACTATAAACAGGTACTCCAGGTAAGACTGAAAAACCCACATGGGACGATATATAATTTTGTTTTTTCCATATCCCAATGCCCAGTCACTAAAGCAAAACAAAAAATCTCATATGACCATTTCGCATGAACATTATTTTTGTTTTTTAGGCATACTGTCTAGTTGATTTTGTCCTGTTCCTGCAACTGCACCATCAGTAAACTGGTCTGTTTACTTGTGTTAATGCCATGTTGTCATTTACTGTGATTACCCAGTAAATCACGAGAGATAATCCTATTGTGTAATAATTATCTTTTTCACTCAGCTCAGATGTGGATGAGATTTTAATATTTCTGCCAGACTTATAATTTAAGTTGATATGTGAATAAACACACAGAAGAGAACAGTCTGGAGTACAAAGAGAGGACAAGGGAGGTGAAGAGGGAAATGGCCAAGGCCAAACAAAAGGCATATGAGGAGTTGTACGAGAGTTTGGAAACAAAGGAAGGAGAAAAGGAGTTGTATAGATTGGTGAGACAGAGAAATCGAGCTGGGAAGGATGAGGATGAGCATCTCTGTCCTTAATCAAGGACAGAGATGGGAATGTAATCACAAGTGAGGAAAGTGTGCTGAGAAGATGGAAGGAATACTTTGAGGAGTTGTTGAATGAGGAAAATGAAAGGTAAAAATAGAAATGAGGAACCAGAGACTAGTAGGAAGAAAGTAGATCAGATTAGAAAGGATGAAGTAAAGTGAAGTTGTAACAACTACAGAGAGATAAAGTTGATGAGTCATTTGGGAAATAGTAGTTGAAGCTAGCTTGAGGCAGGAAGTGGAGATTTGTGAAGAGTACCACAGATGCAATATTTGCCTTGAGGATGCTGATGGAGAAGTACAGAGAAGGTCAGAAGGAGCTACATTGTGTATTTGTAGATTTAGAAAAGGCATATGACAAAGTGCCAAGGGAGGAATTGTGGTTTTGTATGAGGAAGTCAGGAGTGGCAGAGAAGTATGTTAGTTTGGTGCAGG